AGGGGGGATGGTCACGCCGCAATCCCTTCTCCTCCATTCTCCTCTCAGGATCTTGGGCACGCACGCACACGCGCCCGGCGTGAGTTTTTTAAGCCACCGGGTCCAGGACACGAACCGTGGTCGACCACGTGGGAGTCCAGCGACATAGCCATTACACTAACTGCTGGTTCCCACGCACCCAATGCATTTTTGAAGCCCCTGGATCTGGGACTCAAACTCACTTTATCGCTCATGTGGGACCCGGCCACGTTAACTACCACACCACCCCTGCTTTGTCTGGCCCAGCCATTTCTTATATTTGTGTGTGTTGTCTGGCTCGGTTATAAGCTCTTTGGGGGCAGGGATTCGGGTCTTCTTCCTTCACTGCTGTCTCTCCATTCCTAAAGCAGTGCCTGGCACATAGTAAGGGCTCAACAGATATTGTCGCATTAGCGTGTGGGAGTCCCTCAGGGAGACCCGTCTTCCTGCTTTCCTTTATCCAAGCTCTGCTCGTGCATATGGCAAACCCTTCCTGATACCTCTCACTTGCAGCTGGTGCCCAGCCCTGGGCTCAGCAGTGAGGGCATGCAGTCTGGCCTCCCTGTCTCTCCTGGTGCTCGCAGACTCGTCAGAGAGATGCAGCAGGCCAGGCACTGGGCTACAGGCCCGGGACTCCATGTGGACTCACACCAGGGCCTAGGCAGACAGAGTGGGGGTGCCTTCTCTCTGAGGGGCCCTGCACTGACCCTGTGGGTCCCCCAGGGCTACATGCAGCCACTGAAGCAGCCGGAGAACTCCTTGCTGTGTGACCCGTCGCTGGTGGATGAGATCTTCGACCAGATCCCTGAGCTTTTAGAGCACCACGAGCAGTTCCTGGAGCAGGTGCGACACTGCGTGCAGACCTGGCATGCCCAGCAGAAGGTGGGCGCCCTGCTCGTCCAGTCGGTGAGTGGCCCCTGCCCGCTCCCACCCTGCCCCCATCTGCCTGCCCTACGTGGGTACTGACTCTGATCCCAGATCTCACACCCAGGACTTGCCCAGACACTGGCCTTGGCCCCAGCCCTGGGTTTACTGCCCAACCCAGAGCATGGCTGGACTCTGGCATGGAGCCCAACCCCAGCCAGACACTGGCCCGCTTCCTGACCCAACCCCAGTGGCTGGCTCTGCCTGACCCTAGCCTGACCCTGAGCTGGTGCCGATGCTGACCTGGACCTCTGAGAGATGCTGTTACTGACCCCGACTGGGTCTCACTAAACCTCAACAACTGCCCTGATCTTGACGCGGGCTTGGGCTTGATGTTGACCCTGGCCTGATACTGACCAGCTGTTTTTCTCCATCAGGTAGTTTAATAACAGCTGATGCTCTTTGGCACCTCTAACGTGAGAGGCATTATTCTCCGTTTTTGCTGTGGGGTACATGTGCTTATGGGGATGTGGAGGGGTGAGAAGCCCCCTCCCCCAGGGGGCATAGCCACTCCACAGTCTCGTCTCATTCTCCTCTTGTGATTTGGGCACACGTGCACATGCATCTGGCATGTTTTTCAAGCCACTAGGTCCAGGACTTGAACTGCCTAGTCAGCCATGTGGTATCCAGCTGTCTTAACCACCGTGCCACCAGCTGGGGCTCTGTCTGGGGCTCTACTCGCCCCCGGCTTCTCCTGGGGCCTGGACAAGTTCTCTCTCTCCTACCCGGCCCACAGTAAAGCCCCGCTCAGGCCAGGGCACACAGCTAACGCCTGCCAGCGGTGGAAGGCAGGCTCCATGCGGAAGTTTTCGGCCAGAACCTTGGCTAGAGTCAGGACCCCTGGGTTCCTGTTTCGGCTGTGACCTTTAGTGGCCCGAGGCATTATCCTAAAAGCTATATATATAACAACCCTAGGAGTGGAGTGCAGAGATTACCCTGATTTTAAAGCTGATGACTACGACTTCCAAGTCAGTCAGGTAGGAAGCGGTGTAGGGTGCCACCAGGGCAACCAGCTTCTGGCCCCCAGGCTCCAGGCTCCCCATCCTCCCTCTCCCCACAGGCCAGCCCGTCCCCCTGTAAGTGTTCAATGTCCTACAGTAGTGATTGGGAGCATAGGAAAAGGTCTTAGCTTCCAAATTCAGAAAGCACTGCAAAAGCAAAACCAACAAACGTGTAATTAAATGTCTGTAAGACGTAACATGCCATTTTCTCCCACTGTTCAACTTAGTACAGATACTAAATTTACAGTGACGTACAGTCGGAAAAAGAAAAACTAAGTCGAAACATTGTAAGTCCTAAGCGAGGCCCATCTGTATTCATTTATAAGAACTTAATTACATTTGAAAAACTTTAAGTTACGTTTTGTTACTTTGCTAGAATTCCCAAGAAGGGATGATGAGGACGGATAAATTGTACCTGAATACAGACTAAATGGCTACTCAGAGCCATGTCATTTCAGAAGTGAAATTGTAAAAATCCTTCCAACAATTTTGCAAGCAAAAAAAAAAAAAAATCTGTTTTTGTGGGATGTGGTGTTTTTTCATGTGTTGGTTATACTTGGGGGTGGCCGGGGCTTAGAGCAGCTCTGCCGACTGGGACAGTGATGTGACCTGTGGGGCGACTCATCACTCAGCTGAGTACAGCCATGTCCAGCCCATCCTCACCCTTGGCGTCACACGGCTCAGCCCCAGTCCTGACCTGGATGCTCAGTGCAGAAGCCGCAGACCCACAGGATACTTCGTCCCAGGGAAGGGGTGGGCAGTGACAGCTGTTTCTCTCCCCCAGCTTCAGGCTCTGCCCTGCTCTGTCCAGAGGCAGGGACAGCTGACACCTTGGAGAAGCAGGGGCCAGAAACACCACTAAAGGTCACAGCCGAAACAGGAACCCAGGGGTCCTGACTCTAGCCAAGGTTCTGGCCGAAAACTTCCGCATGTAGCCTGCCTTCCACCGCTGGCAGGCGTTAGCTGTGTGCCCTGGCCTGAGCGGGGCTTTACTGCGGGCGGGGTAGGAGAGAGAGAACTTGTCCGGGCCCCAGGAGAAGCCGGGGGCGGGTAGAGCCCCAGACAGAGCCCCAGTCAGTCCCAGAGCTCACCCTGAGGATGGGTGGGGAAGGGCATTCCGGAGCGCCGGAGCAGGCCAAGTGGCTGGAAAGTCTGTGTGGCCCGGAGGACAGTGAGGAGGGAGAGCTGCCGCGCTGGAAGTGATAAGGCCGAGGGTCAGAAATGCCCTGTTGGATGTGAGGGAGCCAAGCCTGCTCACTGCACGCATCCGGGACACACACAGACATACTAGCTAGAATAAACGTGTGTATATGTGTGCACACATGTGTACATGCCTTATCACAAGTCCCACATGCAACACATACACACTTAGTGACACAAGACACAGCAGCCCCTGCTGAGTCCTTAGCAATGACATCATTTCTTGGTGGAGGGACAAGATCCTGCAGTGGTTACGTCGCTGGGCTCCCACGTGGCCGACCATGGTTACAGTCTGGACCTGGTAACTTGAAAATCATACCGGGCGCGTGTGCGTGCGTGCCCAAGATCCTGGGAGGAGAGTGGAGGAGAAGGGATTGTGGCGTGGCCATCCCCCTGGGGGTGATCTCTTGCTTTCCCTCTCACTGTCTCTGATCTTGTCTCTATTGGTGAGCGCACACACTCTAAGGCAAAAACCTCTAAAAAAGAAAAGATGTCAACTCACGAAGTGATGGAAACGGGGACAGAGTGAGGCTGGGGGTGGGCCACCTGGAGGGGCCCCAACCTGCCTCCTCACCCACAGTTCTCCAAAGACGTCCTGGTAAACATCTACTCCGCCTATATCGACAACTTCCTCAATGCCAAGGATGCCGTGCGGGTGGCTAAAGAGGCGAGGCCTGCCTTTCTCAAGTTCCTGGAGGTACTGTGGGCTGGTGCGAGGTGGGGTGGAGTGGGGGTGGCCTTCACCTTGGGCCAGCTTCAAGGGCCCTGGGAGCTCCCTGCCTACATACAGTAGCCCTGGTAGGGCCAGCCTCCGCCCTCGACTAGGCTGGAGGGGCTTGCTGGGCTGGCCTGGAGGCACCTTGGCCGGCATCCATTCCTCACGCGGGTGCCCACCCACCCCGCTTTGGGTTCCAGCAAAGCATGCGTGAGAACAAGGAGAAGCAGGCGCTGTCTGACCTCATGATCAAGCCCGTGCAGCGGATCCCACGCTACGAGCTCCTGGTGAAGGTGGGCAGGGGCAGGTGGCAGGTGTGCAGGGCCCTGGGGCAGGGGGAACAGAGGGCCCTGCCAAGCTGAGCCTGGCATTGGGGTTTCTGGGCTCAGATAAGAAAGAAGTCCTCTCTGGTATCTACGCGTAGCCCCTTCTGCTCCAGCAGGCCGTCTGGCCCTGTTCCTCCAACAGGACCTTCTGAAGCACACACCTGAGGACCACCCGGACCACCCGCTCCTGCTGGACGCACAGCGGAACATCAAGCAGGTGGCCGAACGCATCAACAAGGGTGTGCGGAGCGCAGAGGAGGCAGAGCGGCATGCCCGCGTGCTGCAGGAGATCGAGGCACACATCGAGGGCATGGAGGATGTGAGTGCCACCCCGCCATGGCGGCACCCACTGGCTTCGCCATCAGCCTCTGCAGTCACCCAGAGTCATGGCCGTGTTTGTGTCCACGTCGGGGTCTGCAGTGTTTGCATCTACATGCACCCTTCTGTGACCACATGTCTCCCCGCTGTGTCCACTTCTCTGCCTGTGTCTGACCGTGTGTCCCATGGCCTGACGGCATAGCTTTGGCGGGGGGACAGGATGGTGCCCCACTGGCCTGGCCCATGCAGTAGGGCTGAGGGGTCACTGGGATTGGCTGGGGGACGGGGTTTAATAACTCCCCTTCGGTACTCCTGACCCTCTGCCCCACAGCTCCAGGCCCCTCTGCGGCGGTTCCTACGGCAGGAGATGGTCATCGAGGTGGTAAGCCAGTGGTCCAGGTCCCGCCCTGCCCCCCTCCACTCCCTCTGCTCACAACTGCCACCTGTGGCCTCCCTGTGCCCCCATCTCAGCAGGAGCCCCAGTCGCTCCCAGCTCTTCAGACACCTGGGTAGCTGGGGGAGAGCCCTCACCCCTGTCTGGGCTGTGCTGTCCCCTGGGGCACTGTGGCAGGTGCTGGGCTTCAGGACTGTGTCCACTCAGCCTTCATCCTGCCTCGGGCCCCACAGAAGGCGATCGGTGGCAAGAAGGACCGGTCCCTCTTCCTGTTCACGGACCTCATCGTCTGCACCACCCTGAAGCGGAAGTCGGGCTCCCTGCGGCGCAGCTCCATGAGCCTGTGAGTGCCGGCCCAGGGCTAGGGGCACTTGTTCCCCTGGGCCCCACTCCCTGCCCTGACCAGAGCACCCCACGGGCTCCTCCCCAGGTACACGGCAGCCAGCGTCATCGACACGGCCAGCAAATACAAGATGCTGTGGAAGCTGCCTCTGGAAGATGCGGACATCATCAAAGGTGAGCTAGTCGGGCCTGCCCTGAGGCCTGGCGTGGGTCTTTCTCTAAGAATCCTGCTGGAGGGTTTGAGCTGCAGCCTGTCCTGCCACCTGTCTATCAGCTCTTCTGCTATGAGGCCGGGACCTTGACTGGCAGGTTGGGCTGGGTTGGGATGGTCCAGGAAAGAGCTATGTCCGCAGCAATTAGCCATGGACTCATCTGTTCAAACTCATTTGAGCGCCTAACACTAGCTGACGTTCATTGCCCTGGTTCGGCAGCTTTGTATGAGGGGAACAGGGACTCACTCAAGTTAGTACAAGCACAGGATTGATGAATGAGCTGGCATTTGGGGCTGAGACTATCGAGAGCTGAAGCAGCCTCAGGGGGTAGTTCCCTCTCTCTCTCTCTCTCTCTCAGTCCCTGTGCTACGAGTCAGCCCCATTCTTACTGCAACTCCTATGATCAGGCCCAGACTCTGCCTCCAGGCTCACCTGGATGGCTGCTCACTGGAGCTGGCCCCCAGGGTGAGGGAGAGTAAACCCAGGTGCCCACATGGGTATAATAATAATGGCTATTATTGTTGGGCCAACTCATCTCTTCTTGCTAGAGGATAGGCCAGCCAATACAATGGCCATCTTAGGTCAGGTGCCCACTCCTAGTCCAATCAGTTGTGGCCAGGAGTGGGGCAGGTTCATAGGGACGGAAACGTGTTTGCCCAGGTGGCTGGGGTGGGGTAGTTTCTCTCAGGTGGAGCAGGTTGTCTCCGTCTGCTTGGGCTGCTATGACAGTAAAACTCACAGACCGTTTTAATTTATAAGCAGCAGAAATGTATTGCTCACAGCTCTGGAAGCTGAGAAGTTCCAAATCAAGGTGTCAGCCGATTTGATGTCCAGTGAGCAACTCACTCCTCGCAGACGGCGCCTTCTGTGTGTCTGCTTTGGTGGACGGGGCAAGCAAGCACCCTCAGGTCTAAGAAAGAGCGAGAAAAGGACCCTCAACAGGGTCTTGTCACATGGCCGTCCCCTTACATCCAGCCCTCCAGCTCGCCAGGGTCCTGGGTACATCTGTGCTCAGCATGTTTCTTAGATTGTCCAGGCTGCAGATCCGAACCCATGGCTGGCCATGTGGCTTCCGGCACTGCAGTTCAGTGCGCTGTGGACTAAAACTCAGGCTTTTTTTTTTTTTTTTAATTGCCATGGGCACAGTCCTTGCCAGAGAGACAGAGAAAGCACTCCTCAGTGAGGTGTGGTCACACTGCAATCCTTTCTCCTCCATTTCTCCGTCCTATCAGGATTTGTGCCGAGGGTGTTTTTTAAGTCACCACGGCTGGGATTTGAGCCGCAGTTGGCCATATGGGATCTGGCCCAGTGTACACCCTGAGCCAGACAGTGAGGGGTCTGGGGAGCTGCTGAGCTGTCAGCAGGGCCAACGCTTGGCAGTGGTCAGGTATGAGGCAGGCACAGAGAAATCCAGGGCACCAGCTCGTCGCTGTCTCCTCTGTGGGGAAGCGAGTGCCCTGGTCAGCACATTTAACTGCCCGAGGCGCTGCCTGCTCAGCCAGCTCCCCGGGGAGGCTGCTCGGTGCAGCAGGCCAGGGTCTGCTGGAGCTTGCGTAACCTGCAGAGCTGTTGACTCTGGGGAGTCCTGCAAGGGCCCAGCATCCCGTACCAAGCAGCTCTGAATCAGGCCTGTCCTTTGCACTCAGGCCTGGGTTTCTCTGAGGCTGACTCTAACTTCTTTCCTGAGAGCCCTTGCCTGTCGGGCCACCTCCTGGACAGGCTGTGTCCCAGCCTGACCTTGCCTACCTCTTTACCCATGGCCTTCCTGTGTCCCCACCAGGAGCATCCCAAGCCACCAATCGAGAGAACATACAGAAGGCCATCAGCCGCCTGGATGAGGACCTGACCACCCTGAGCCAGATGAGCAAGCTCTCAGAGAGCCTCGGTTTCCCCCACCAGGTCTGTGCCCTCTGCCTGAAGCTAGGGAGGCAGGAGGTAGGCCATGCGGGCACTCTGTGACCCTGTCTGAGGGCCCGACAGAGCCTTGGCATATGCCTGAGGGAGGAGGCATCCCTGCCACTTGTCTAAGGGGACAGTTACAGCCTACCCCCATCTAAGGGCAGTAACATATTCTGAGTCTAAGGCTGGGACACAGCTCCATCTTTGGCTGAGGAAGAGAGAGGGCCCACCCTGTATGTGGGGTGGGAGGGGGGCCCAGGCTACCTCTTGGCCTAAGGGAAGAGACATCCCACTTCTTTTCTGAGGGCAGAGGCTAGTCCCCACACACACTCCCAAGGGTAGATGCAGGCTGTGATGAGACGCCTGGGCCTGGGGCCTGGGCCCTCCACTCTGCAGAGCCTGGACGACGCACTGCGGGACCTCTCGGCCGCCATGCACCGGGACCTGTCAGAGAAGCAGGCGCTGTGCTACGCACTCTCCTTCCCACCCACCAAGCTCGAGCTGTGCGCCACACGGCCCGAGGGCACCGACTCCTTCATCTTCGAGTTCCCCCACCCCGATGCCCGCCTCGGCTTCGAGCAGGCCTTCGATGAGGCCAAGAGGAAGCTGGGTAAGCCACGGCACTGGCCATCCTCCCAGTACCTTCAGGGGTGGGAGGAGCCAGAACTCTCAGAACTGCAGTGCCCTAGCAGCCCCCACTGGTGGGGAGGGTGGACTGAGACTCACAGTGACACAGCTGACAGAACAGCAGCCGTGGCCTGCCCAGGGCCTCACTGGCAGGAAGGAGAGTCCGTGGATACGGCTGTCACGGCTTGACCTGCCCCAGAGTAGACATTGGTAGCAATGCCTCCGTGCCCCCGCGTCATACTCTGAGCAGGCCTGGATCAGAAAAAGCTATTGGCCAGGGACCATGGCTTGGGATATCCTGAGACACCTCTGGGTCTAATGCTCTCATGGTACAGGTGGGGAAGGACTGAGCTAGTGGCAAGCGGCATAACCCACAGCCACCTCACTGTAGTGTGACTAGGATCAGGCCCCTCCCTGGAGAGACCCTGAAGGGCAGGGGAGGGAAGGAAATGGGGTGAGGGCAGGACCAGGTGAGGGGGATCTAAGCAGCTCTGTCTCCCTCCGCCCACCCCTTGCCTGTCTGTCGGTCCATGTTCACAACAGCATCCAGCAAAAGCTGTCTAGACCCTGAGTTCCTGAAGGCCATCCCCATCATGAAAACCCGCAGCGGCATGCAGGTGAGTGGGCCACGTGGGTGTGCCATTCAAAGCCAGCACGTCAGCGGACTTGCGTTCCCAACAACATTGTGTGTGTGTCTTGAACATTGTGCTTGCTTCCTGTCCTTGAGTATGTGATTCTCTGTGCATGCACACAGACGCTGCATGCATGTCATGTATGTGGGATGCTTCATGCACATCTGTATCTGTGCGTGTGAACGGAGGCCAGACTGCTGATGTGCTGGGTTGAGTCTGCATACATAGTCACTGTGTTCCATGCATGAGTCCGTGTGTGTATATGCAGGAGTGGTTGATGGCTCTGTCACCCAGATGTGGGCACATCTGATGTGTAAGGTGTCATGCGTGTGTGTGTGTGGACACATGTGTGCAGAAGGGCATATAGGGAGTGCATACACACTCATGTGGGACTGTCACCCTCCTTCGGGGGTCCCTGGTTGGACAGTGGCAGCAATTCCTGCATTCACCTTCCCCTGCCCACAGTTCTCATGTGCAGCACCCACCCTGAGCAGCTGCCCGGAGCCCACGCCCGAGGTGTGGGTGTGCAACAGCGACGGCTACGTGGGCCAGGTGTGCTTGCTCAGCCTGCGCGCCGAGCCCGACGTGGAGGCCTGCATCGCCGTCTGCTCGGCCCGCATCCTCTGCATCGGGGCAGTGCCCGGCCTGCAGCGCCGTAGCCACCGGTGAGGGGCGCCTCGGGCTTCGGTTGGGAGATCAGCCCCTACCCCAGCACTCACCAAGGCCGCCCAGAGGTGGTTGTAGGCGGGGCCCGGCAGGTGTGGGCGGGGCCTGGGCAGTGCACCGGTTGGAGCGCTGTAGCTGCGGCTCCCCGGCGCCTTTTCCCCCCCCCCCGTGCGGCTTGT